CTGGAACATATGATTATGTGTATTCATAGTAGAGTCCTTCCCTCTCCCACTCCCACACCCAACCCCTCCGACTCTCACCCTTCTCCACCCCACTCTTCAACCCCACCCCTACACCCATCCCTCCCCACCCCTACCCTTTTAAACCCTAAGACACAGCCTTCCCCTCTCCTCCCCCCTCTCCCCTCACCCTACCTTCCACCCTTACCGCTTCAACCACCCCCTCCCCACCTACAACCCCTACCCCCCTCATCCCTACCCTTCCACCCCACCCTCCCCACCCTACAACCCCTCTCCCCTTCACACCTACCCTTCCCCACCCTACAACCCCTTCCACCCTCACCCCTACCCCTCTCCCCTTACCTTCCAACAATCCCACCCCTACCTCCACCCTACAACCCCCTACCCCCTTCTCCCCTCACCCCTACCCTTCCAACCCCACCCCTCCCCCACACACCCTACACCTACCCCCACCCCTAACCCTCCAACCCCAGCCCCTCCTCACCCTACACACCCCCACTCCCTCCCCACCTCCAACCCCTACCCCTTCCCCACAACCCCCACCCCCAACCTCACCTCTCCCACAGAACGAGGTCTCCGTCGACGAGCGTGGGAACCGTGTGCTCGGGGTTGAGCGCCAGGTACTCGGGCTTGAACTGCTCGCCCTGCCAGATGTCCACTTCCTTGAGGTTGAGCTCGACTCCTAGGGCTCGAGACGTGAGGAGGACGGAGCGGCTAAAGGGCGAGGTGATGCAGTAGTACAGGTCGAGGGGGCATGGTGGCAGGGGGTGGCAGGGGGCGGTGGGGGCGGCAGGGGTGGCGCGGGGAGACGCGGAAGGGGGCTGTTAGGTCCTGGAAGGCGAAGGCTTGGAAATGAATCGGCGAGAGGGTGAAAAGTGGAGGGAAAACCCCACTGGCTGATGGGGCTGTTTGTGGGGTTTCCTGAGTTAGTGTGTGAGTTCGTGGTCAGTCTTTTCGTGCGTTTGCGAGAATGTTTGTATACGTACATACGTGTAAGCATGGACGGATGGACGGGCGGACGCTTGGACGCACACAGACCACACCCCACACACGAGACACGCACACGCACACAAACGGCAACGCACTCGTACTGTACTCCACCACACCACACAACACAGACACGACACAGACACACACACAGACCACCCCACACAGACACACACACACATACATACAACACACACACACACACAACACAACACACAACACACACACACACCACACACAACCAACACACACACACACACAANTGCTCTTTCTCTCTTATAATATGAATATACTATTTATAGAGAATATATAGTATATAATTATATATATTATAAATAGTATTTGTATATATATATATTAATATTATATGTATATATTTAATATATTATCATAATTCATTTATTTATTTATATTCATATTCATACTATTATCTATTATCTCATATCTATAGTTATATTAGTATATAACATATTAATATATATATTACTATGTATATATTATATATATCGATAGTATATATATTATATATTAGTAGATAGATAGATAGATAGATAGATAGATTGCTATAGATATAGACATACACTAGTCTTACAACAAAATTCAATCTAATTTCTACTTTTATATTCAGGGCTTTTAAGATCTCCAAGATCTATTTTATCTTCTGTAAGGAAGTTGATTTGATTACTAATATATTGAGAAAGAACACGTTTCCCATTAACTTCAATGAAAGGAATTCAAAAAAAAGAAATAACATACTCTTAGAACCCATATCAAAATTTTTATTACGTAAAACAACCGATTTTGTTACTGTACTTACAACTTAGAGAGAATTCAAGTTTAATTTAAGCACATTATTCCACTGTCATTCTTAAAATTGTATATACAACATCCCTCTCCATAGGGAATTTGTTCAAATTTAAAGATAAAATCCCCAAAACCTCTACGTTCTTCAATTGTTTACAAATTCTCGTGCAGCAGCTGTGATACTACTGACATTGGGAAAACATCCTATAACCTTTTCATGCGTATTGAGGAACGTTAAGGTTTCTCGTTCAGATATACTAATTACAAATAAATCTTCAATCAGAAGGCATTCACAATTAACAAACCTTTCCTTTTCTCTCAATATTTTAGAGAGTTAATGAACTTGGAAAGAAAAGCATAACCTTAATGAATGTTTATCCTCCACAGATATTGAACTCCTCAAATAATAATTATAACTATCATTTTCGGATTCACATTCACTTTAGTATCCTTATTTTATCTGGGATGGTTTTCTTTCTCACGATACTTTTGGGTTTGGTAGACAACCGATCCTTTCATAGCGTCCCTTGGCGGCTTGTTCCATGGATTTAAAAGAATAATTTTTGGTTAGTAATCATTGTTAATTCATCTAATTAGTTAACATAAAAGTACACATTGAAGTTTTGGATTATGATTTTATAGCACAAATAGTATGCAGTTTCCTTCTTACTGTACAGAACTTCCAATTCCTTTGTTCAAAGGATACTTTTGGGTTTGGTAGACAACCGATCCTTTCATAGCGTCCCTTGGCGGCTTGTTCTATGGATTAAAAAAAAAGAAAAAAAAAAAATGGCTAGTAATCATTGTTAATTCATCTAATTAGTTAACATAAAAGTATCATTTGAAAGTTTAGATTATGATTTTTTTTTATAGCACAAAATAGTATGCGACTTTCTCTTACTGTACAGAACTTCATTCTTTTCAAAGTTTAAGATTCTGTTTGTTAATATTTCACTTGAGTTTCAATTTGATAAATTTGTCCGTCTCAGTCTGTGTGTGCAAAAGGTCCTGATATTTTGTTTTTAAAGTACATTGCTTATTTTTTGACAACTGAAATATTTATTTGTGATTCCAACTCTTATATTGATTTGTGAATATGTCATTCAATTAATATTTCATACAAATTATGATTTTCTAATGTGTATTCCAGTGCTTTGCCTTTCATAATTATTCTTGCTTAATGTTTAGTTTGTGACTTGTTTAGTTGAGTTAGATAACTTTAAATTTGTGTATTTGTATATGTTGTAATTATACATTATGGTGATGTAATATTATTTTTTTTAATGTCCATTTAAGAAGTTCATTGATAAGGGTGAACTCGCTCGAACGGTTTGGAATTTGAATAATAGGTGGACCAAGAAAAACTAATTTTGTTTGTTCAACCAGGGATCCATAATCGTTGAGGTTTGGTGAAATAATATATATATATATATATAATATATAATATTATTAAAGCGTATATATTTATATATATATATATATATAGTATATATGGGTGTGTGTGTGGTGCGTGTGTGTGTCTATGCAGTGTATATATAGATAATACATACATATATAACATTACAGCAAGCACAACACACACACACACACACACACACATACACAAACAACCACCAACACAACAAACACACAAACCACAACCACAACACACAACACAAAACAACAGCATTCAGTTTGACACACACACACACCCCAACACACATAAATAAAGTTACTATATTCTATATATATATAATATATGTATATATTGTATTATATATTACAACATATATATATATATATAATAATTATATTATATATATATACTTATATAGTATAAGCACACACTACACACACACAGAAGGACACACCTACACCGACCACAGAACACACACAAACACACACTATATATATAATATACATATATTATATAAGTAAATGATTATATACATATATATATGATATATAATATATTATATACTAAGCAAAGATATATCTATATATATATAATAATATATATATATATATTTATAGTATATGTGTGTGTGTGTGTGTGTGTGTGTGTGGTGTGGTGTGATGTGTAGTTAGTGTGTTATGAGTGTGTTTGTGTGTGTGTAGTGTGTTGTGTGTGTGTTATTGTTGTGTGTGTGTGTGTGTTGTGTGTTGTTGTGGTGTGTGTGTGTGTGTGTGTGTGTGTGTGTGTTTGTTGTGTGTGTGTTGTGTGTGTTGTGTGGTGTGTGTATAATATATATACTATATGTTATTATATATTATATATAGTATACGTATATTAATTATAATACAATCTTATGTATGTGCATATATAATATGTACATACATGATATATAATATGTATATATGTATATTTATTATATATTTAATTTAAGTATATATATATGGATATGTAGGTATAATACATATTTATGTAGATATATAATGCACCTCGTATATACATATATAGTATATATATATATAGGTATATATATCTATTTATGATATTATAGTATCATATATATATAATATAATGTATTAGTATATGATTATTTATATATGTATATATTATATATATATAATATCTTTATATATATATATATATAGTATATATTAGTGTATATATACATATACTATAATGTTGTGTGTGTGGTGTGTGTGTGTGTGTGTGTTTAGTGTGTGTGTATGTGTTAAATATATATTATATACATATTATATATATAATTATACTAACACAACACACACACACCCATACGAGAGGACAAACTCACCCACAGACACCGACACACAACACCCATATTATAGTGTATATATATATATATATATTATATATATTATATATATATATACATCATCATATAGTTGATATTACATATAATATTATGGTAATATATAATATAGTATTATATATATATAATTATATATATATGTATGTATGTATGTTGTTATATATTATATCATATAATATATATAAATTATTAATATATATACTATATATATATAAGTATTATATGTATATTATATGTTTATATATATATCTAGCATATATGTACATAGAGTATATATATATAATATTATATTTATATATTATAATATATATATATATTATATATTATATATAGATATATATATATATATTGTGTGTGTGTGGGTGTGTGTGTGTGTGTGTGGTGTGTGTGTGTGTTTGTCTGTGTGTGTGTGTGTGTGTGTGTGTGTTGTGTGTGTGTGTGGTGTGTGTGTTGTTTGTGTGTGTGTGTGTGTGCGTGTGTGGGTGTGTGTGTGTGTGTATGTGTGTGGTGTGTGTGTGTTGTGTGTGTGTGTGTGGTGTGTTGGTCTGTGTGTGTGTGTGTGTGTATGTGTGTGTGTGTGTGTGTGTGTGTGTGTGTGTGTGTGTGGTGTGTGTGTGTGTGTGTGTTGGTGTGTGTAAACAATTATATATATGATATATAGCTTTATATATAAATACATATATATATATATTATCTATATATAGATGATATATTATACATATATATCATATATATACGTATACCATTAAGCTATATATATATAATAATACTATATATACGTATAAGCCACTATAATAATATATATGTACTATAAGTCTACTATACACTATGCTAATAGTATACTACTACCTATATACTATCTACCTACTATACTATATACTACTATCTATATATATATATATATATATGTATATGTTATATATTAATATATATATATATATTATAGTATACTATATACGTATTTATATATTATATATATGTATATATACAATTCAACACTCAACACAGAACTATAGTATGCATATATATATATATAGTATATATAATATATATATATATATATCATAGTCTATATATATATACCTATCTATTACTAGGTGATATATACATTACTCTGTCTCTATCTCTCTCTCTCTCTCTCATCTCTCTCTTCTCTCTCTCTCTACTTCTCTCTCTCGCATCTCTTCTTCTCTTCTCTTCTCTCTCTCTTCTCTGTTATTTCACGTTCTTGTGTAACTATACGGTACAACAAACAACACACACACACACAC